TCAGACGGGCCCGTCCTCTTACTCTCGACTACACACTGTGATTAGAAAGCACATTTCCATTTCATTTTCTTTGAGTGGCTCTGGAAGCCCTCAAAGAAAATAACGTCTCATACCGAGCTCCGGTAAAGAATATAAACACACCTGCGTTCACACATTCAGCAAGAAAACACATTAGTATTCACAATAAGTACAAAGATGAGTAGCAACAGACTGAAACCTCACCTGTAAGAACATAAAGTTTTATTAATCAGTTAGTATTTGAGATTATCTGAGATTAATCATCGGGTTTTAAAGAGATTTTTAGCGTGAACTTAAAATAGATTTGTATTTATTCACATTGTTGTAATATTACTGACATTATTATTTCACAATAACCACATTGTGTTGAAGTAAACAAGACGAGGACGGATGACAACATGAATTCCTTATTTTATTTCCTACGCTGGGATTTAAAACAGCTGCTGATGTGCTCTTTGTTTTTTCTCCTTCTCTTTATTCGGTTAGTGTGAAATATATTTCTTTGCGCCTCCTGTTGTTTCAGCGTCTCACGGCTGAAAAACAGTCCTTGGTTGACGACTGATTGAGAATCCTGCACATTTTACATTTTAAAACCAAAGCAACAACATTACAAGACAAACCTTCAAACCCTCTGATCTCGAGCTTATTGTGCAGGTTGCATTTAGCTGCAGGATGTTTGATCAACTTAAAACGTAATCACGCACCAAACATTAGCATCAGCGAGGTCGTCGGTACCTGAGCCGAGAACAAGTAAACTCCCTGGCCCGTGTTTTTCTGTGAAATATATTTCCTCTTCCCAGCACTCTAATATAAATGATGAAACTGTGCTCCGGTCTCTGCATGTTACTTTTGAAATGATGTGTTTCCATGTGTGTGCATGCACTGCACTTCACAGCGAGCGGGAGGACGCTGCTAAACTAATAAAGAGCATAATGTCATTTTCTTCAGATGCAACATTTTTTTTTATCCTTTCATCATTTTTTTTTTTATATTTCAGTAATCAGAATTTTTTTTTTCTTCTCTTCAACAACAAATCATGTTTTTCCAATCATGGTTATGGTCAGAACGCTTTTACTAACTCAGTGACTCCCGGTAGTGTTCTGAAAATAAGACATTCACACATTAGACACTTCTGTCCTTGCGCCTCCACATCTGGACTGATTCTGACTGTCAACCACATTTTCTGTCCCTGAGTCCAGATGTGGAAGCTTGACGGAGGTATGTGCATACTACGGGTATAGATACACACTCGATCTAGCTCTACGCAGCAAAACAAATATATTTTCTAAAAATGTCTGAACCATCCTTTCAATTCCATAAACGCATGTACTTGTATATATGTCACAGGTTTTCTGGTTAATTCTGCAAAAAGCCTCGGGCGGCCGACAGTTACTCTCCCTGGAAAACACATTAAGCTTTTCCTCCCGGCTGTGTGAGGGAGACTAAGTGTTTCTCTGCGCGCTTTGACCGGAACATGGGCATCAAAGCCCGGACAAATTATCACAAACATCATGCATGTAAGTTGGAAACATCATTACTCAGGAGCAGTAAAAGCGAGGACCCGAGTTTGGCGTTTTCTCCGAGGTCAGACCCTTTCTCCCCGATTAGTTTACAATGATGAACCATGTTGGATCAAAACAGAACCAGAACGCTGCAGAGAAGAGCTCCTGAGTTTTATTGGACCTTGAAAAAAAAAAAAAAAAAAAAAAAAAAAAAAAGCTATTACAGCAAGTAAAACTCATCATTTATCAAAAACTTGAGAGAAGTTTGTGTATCTGTGGAAACTCGGGTCATTAGAGTCGTGCTGTCGTCTGGTTTTCTGTCACTGTGGTTCATGTTAATACTCAGATAATCATCCTATACACTGTGTGGCTGCTGCATCTTTCATTTGCTGTGAAATCAGCGTGATTTCACACAAAAACTGTTGTATGACCCGTAGAGCTCATGCTAAGCTGTTGATGAGCTCGTATACCTCTTGTATTTGGATTTTGCATTTAAATGATGCCTTACAGAGGAGATCTGTGCTTCTCTGCTGAAAACAGAAAACTTTCTACAGAATAAATCCGATTTGATTAGTTGTTTATTCGATTTGCAAAAGGGGGGGGTGTTGTTTTGACCTCTGTCTCTCTCTCGGTTGGTTTGTTTGGTTGTAAGAAAGATTACATGATCAGGGAAGAGCCCGTTAGATGTTGTGGCTCAAGATCAGGATTTAACTTTGTCAGATTTATTTTTTAAAACATTTTTGTTGAGAGACTAATTAATGGATCTTGATGAAAACGTATCAGAATTCAAAATTTCATGGGTATTGGTTCTGTAGTTTGTGTGTAATCCTGCTAAATAACAAACAAACGCCTTTGAGAGAAGAATAGATGATTAAAAACCTATTTTCACTCTGACATGTGAAGTTAATTTGACATTGATTGTAAAGGAGTTGAGGTCAATCAGATATTAACATTCAAACCCATTGATTGAATCCTCCTGGGGTGTGCCACGCATGTAAATATTCAGCGGTTCAACCTTTTGCACGAGGACACTTCTCTCCACTTTCCCACCGTGTCACAAAACAAAACCCCATTTCCTCTTCCAGCCTGACTCCGTCATTACGAGTGAAAGTAATGTACGTTTCCACGCTCGCTCTGTGCAGCATGTTTGTACGATCGAGAGGAAAATTGCAGTGGATCTTTTGTTCTCCGCTCGTTGACTCACTCTGCAGAGGTGTCGCTTCTACACCTGCCAGCACTGCAAGGTCAGCACTGCGTTTATTTTAATGAATTCAATGGTGTCACTTTTCAGCTCCTGATCTTTTGTGATCACTGAAATAGAAATCGTAGAAAATGATGAATCTGTTGAAGGAGCAGTGCAGTGAGCAATTAATTAAATGAAAACTGTTTTCATTATGTCACTTCTCTGTGTTCTCGTTCATATCATTCTCTGAAGTGCAGCAGATGCCAGGTTTTGGGTTTTCTCTTGAGAGAGAGGTTTTTTTTTCTGTTTTTGAGGAAGCGGGGGGGGACGACTGTCACCAACACAGAGAATATTAATGCACCCTGAGGCGACCTGAAGTGAATGATAATGAACATGTGCTGACCATCAGACACCTCAGATGAAAACCAATAAGTCTGATAAAAGTCAGGTCTTTTCTTCAATAAAAACTTTGCTGATATCAAATCTCTGACATTTATTCCTGTAAATATGAACGTTTTTGTTGTGAACAAGACATTTTGGTGGAAAACACACGGCAGCGACAGATCGATCTGCTCCGACTGGAAGAGTTTGTGGTTTTTATAACTTAGGTCGAGCAGTTTGCTGAACTTGACTTATAGCATGTTAATCAATTTAGTTTTACACTCTACACACACTTGAACAAACATCAGTGTGATGACGACCTTAAATGACAGAAACCATCGTGGAGAAACATTTAATTAATTTGTGCATTGACTTTTCAGTCTGGTCCCTGTCCCATCTGTTAACATGGAGGGGCGGGGTTTATGACCTATGTTGCAGACAACCACCAGGGGGCTTTAGACACTTTGGCTTCACTTCACAATCTATGATATTTTCCATTTGGTTAATTGGGAGTAAAAAAACAATCAGTAGATTAACCAGAAATGAAAATGAAAGTTTCAGTGGCTTTTGAAAGTTTTCCACTTAATTTCACTAAAACCAGAGAAACAAGGGAAAACAAGTGCGCAGTGGTGTCCACATACTTTAGGCCACAAGACATGATTTCCCAAGTTAGATAATTAGTGGTCAGTACACAATGTGAGCGTTTCCTCAGAGGGAACTGTGTGGGCTCGTGAACGTTAACCTTCAGCCAGCGAGAGCGTACTGTGCACATCATCATCGCAGAGAACTCAACAATGGTACCACGGGTTAACAAGTGGGCGCCGAGCCACGTATCCAGACCGATGTCTCCTGAGACGGGTTTGGATCAATGGTCCGATGGTTTCTGCTCTCGGAATAAAGCAGAAGATTCATGACTACGAGCAAAGGTCTCCCCTGGTTCCTCAAGAATCCACTAACAGAGTTTAGCCTGAAGAAATGAATGTAATGTTTTAGATGATTTGTTCTGCGGCCTCCTCATTCATTCAAGAGATGAATGGTTATTTTGTGTGTTTCCATAGTAATGTTGCACAGGTTCACTCTCATGCATCCAAAAAACTCTGCCGCTCTCTAGTGTACATATGGTGGAAGTACACAATGGTCCTTATTTTCTTTTTTTAAATGATTTATTTCAAAGGATTTAAAACATAACAAGACGGTTTTAAGATTAAACACACAGCTGCCAGATTAAGATAAGAAATATTATAAAAATAATTCCTTAAACATGTCGAACAGGTCAATAAATACACAAGACTTTACATTGTCAGGTTAAGTTTTGAGCCTCGACAGCACAAATGGAATTTGTTCTATTGTTTCTATGTGGAAAGAAAAGACAATGGGATGTTTTTAGTGTGTGTGTATATTTGTTTTCTGTTTTTAACTTTGTGACTCTGTGGAAATGTCCTGTATAAATAATCTGGATTTATTTTTCCACACCCAAGAAAACTGAGATGTGGTGCATCCTGTCTGATTTAAATGTGTAAAAAGACCGTCTCATGTGTCAGTTTCTTAAAAGTCATAAATGAAGCACAGTTAAAATGTTGATTCGTTTTTAAATCAACAAACCGCTGCTTTTTAGTTTACTATAATTTATTTTAAATTTGTTTTATTTAATTTCATATTATTTTTATTTATTTCATTTAACTTCATTTAAATTTCATTTTATTTTATTTTATTTTATTTTATTTTATTTCATTTCATTTCATTTCATTTCATTTCATTTCATTTTATTTTATTTTATTTTATTTTATTTAATTTAATTTTATTTCTTTTTATTTAATTTTATTTAATTCATTTAATTTTTATTTAATTTTATTATTTCATTTGTTTTTGTGCTACACTGAGGATCGACCCGGCCGGAAACAATTCCCGGCCTCTGATTGGCCAGCGACAAACCGCTGGTTGTGATTGGTCAACTCCTTTGTCCTCCCCCGAAACGTTCCGGCCAGAAACACGGCCTCACGGAGAGCGTGGTACCCAGCAGGTCAGTCATCGCTCTGCTCAGCATCGTTGAAATGAACTGAATTAAATCATCATTAAAAACATCTCAGCCTCGTGTGAATGTTAGTTTGTGATCAGAGGATGAAGAAGAAGAAACGCTTCTGTGGTTTTATCTCTTCTTCTTCCTCTTCTCTACCGTATCTTCTTCGTAGCCTAGCATGATGTGCTAGCTGGTTTGCTACCGTGTTGCTCAAACTAGCTTCTGGAAACATCAACACGAGCACAGAGTCGGTTTCTTCTCGCGGTCACACGGACTCTCCTGCTTCCAGACGCTCCCCTGTACTTTAGCATGCTTTTGTATTTGTGTTATATTTGCTGTCGCACTCGACACCTGCTGTAGTTCGCTGGCTAATGAAGCAGCAGCGGTTCATTTGCGCTGTTTAGCTTCAAACCCTGAACTCTCGTGGCTCCTTGTAACTGCGATTAAATGACACTGTGATAACAACGAATCCTCAATGAAGCCACTTGAATCTCTCACACAGATTAAGTTGATTCAATAGATGAACCTTTGTCAGATATTATCCACTGAAGACATTTGATGTGCACTCAGCATCTAAAGATAAGAGAAGTAAATACTAATCTTTGTTTTACTGCTCAGCTGAAGAAATGACTTATTGATAATCAGATATGAGACTACTGGCTGTCTGCTGACTTGACTCTGTTGGTTTTTACTTGCTGTGGTTTGTCTCTTATGTTCTTTATTGTTATGCATTGCACCTGTCTGTGTGAGAGTCTGTGTTTATATTGCGTGTATGTGTTGACTACAACAATTCTTATGTTAGGTTGCTATTTTAAAAACAGATGAGAATTAATCTCTTGAGCTGTTGATTAATGAGCATTGTCCCGGTCAGATAATCGATGAAATGAAATATGAGATAATGCTGAACTAATAATTCTTATTTTTTAACATTAAGCTGTCGTAGTTATACTGTGTAGAAACAGCAAAACGCAACTGCATGAGTTAGTCTCACAAAAATAATCATCAAACATCTGCCTGGCTGTAAAAAACAGGATTCAACAGTTTTGCGAAAGGTGGAGCACTGTGCTCGTTTATTTGAATGAGAGAAAAATTGCAGAAAAAGCTAAACAGCTAAACCTCTTACTAACATTACAAAGTGCTGTTGTGTTTCCCTTAAAATATTGATTTCTCCTTATCTTAAACATGACCTGTACACAAGAAGCAGTGTGAAACTACTCTGCCATAGTTCAGAATTTGTACAGTGGCCTTTTGAAACTAATGTATTATGTGATTTAATTACTCATCAGTTAATGTTCTTTTATCAGTAAGTAAAAGAAAGTGAAGTCATCATCAACAGGTTGATCTCTAGTTTTATTTTACATGTGATATAAAGGCAGTATGAATTTTAACATGATTTTTTTTTTTTCACCTCCACAGTCATGTCTTTCCACCAGGATCGTGGGGGAACCAGGGGCGGAATGCTTCCAGGCCAGCAGGGCTCCCCTCAAAGCTTCCGACCCACCAACCTGAGACCGCCCCCTCCCCAGCCTCCTGTACCCCCATACCACTATGATCCACAGGCTCCTCCCAGCTCAGGCTACCATGGGAACAACAGCTACATGCCTCCGCACTCTGACTTCATGCAATACCCTCCTCCGGCACCATCCCAGACTCCCGGTTCTCTTAACCAGTGTCCAATGCGCCCACCTTTCTCCAAGCCTCCAGTCCGGCAGGGCTTCTTAGAACCCCCGCCCAACTTTCCACCCCCTACCTTGCCCAGCGCCACAGGCGGACCGACACCAGGGTCCCAGGTGTCTGCTCAGAATGCCTACCACCCTTACATGATGCCACCTGTTCCCCCACCACCATTACCACATCCGCCCATGCCTCACCCAATGGCTTCTCAGTCGATGAACTATCACCCTCCGTACTCCATGAACTACCCTCATCCTCCTCACCCTCCATTCCCGCCTCCCACTTTCAGTCCTGGCTACACACAGAACCCGAGCTCATTTAAACCAGACCACGGCTACAGGCACGGGGGGCAGTACAAGTATGATAAACCCATGGAAAACAGGAGGTCTCCAGAAAGAGGCTATCGCCATGATGACCACAGGCAGAAGGGCTACGCCTACGGTAACCATGGTGAGAGGCACAAAATGGAATTTCCCGGAGAGAGGAAAGATCGTGGGCGGAGTCCAGACAAGCGCATGAGGCCAGAGGGGGGAAGGTACCGGTCTGAATACGACAGAGGCCGGACTCCTCCCAGACACAGGAGCAGGGATCGCAGCAGGTACTCAGACAGCACTCTACTGAATCACATCCATTTGTGAAATGTGTTTTTGTTCCTCACCACCACGTGTGTGTGTGTTTGGTGTTTGATCACAGAGAGAGGCATCGTCACAGAGAAAGTCGGAGGTCCCAGTCACCTGACAGGCACAGGAAGAGGCCTCGCAGGTACATGTGTAATCCTTCATTTATCATGTTAAAGCTGATGTGAAATGCTTGTCCACCATCATTTTTTTTTCAGCTAATTGTAAGTTGAGGTTCTTCTATTTTAGTCCTACATTTATACTTTTTTTTGTTGATCGATGATGATTCAGTTTTGAACTCTTTAGGTTGCATGTTCTTGCAAAAAATGGTCTTTGAATATATGAAAAAGCTTAATTGTTGAAACCTCGTGGAATCTAACCTTAGCCTCAAACCCTAAACTGAAAAAACAGTTTTTACCTGACAGACACACTGAATATGTTTTCCTGACATGATTTATCTCTCATCCCTGCTCACTGCCGTCCTGCTTTTTGTCATTTCCAGTCGTTCCTCAAGCAGAGACAGGAAACGTGGCCGCTGGGAAGACGAGAGGGACAGGAGGTTGGAGGGCTCCTCGGGTCTGAGCAGGGAGCGCAGCCACACGTCCGTCAGGAGCAAGGACTCTGAGGAGACCTTCAGTGACAGAGACCGAGAGCGAGACAGGGAGCGGGACAGAGACAGAGAGAAGGAGAAAGAGAAGGGGGACGATGAGAAAGAGGAAGAAGAGCTGTTGAAACCTGCCTGGATCCGCTGCACCCACGCTGAAAACTACTACTCCAATGACCCCATGGACCAAGTGGTACTGTTTGCACTGTGTCCTCAGTTATACGTTCTACAGTTTGTCGTTTGTAAATTACACTTGGCCGGCAGTTTGTTAAAGGTGGTCAAGAGACGTGCTTGTTTTGTTTGACTGGATTTAACACGTTATCTAACCTTATCTTGCGTCTGCTGTTATAAATATGGTCCTTGGTCGTGGTGTTAAAGTTGGATTAGTTTATATTTTCAGCTTCTCAGATTATATCGAGCGCTTAAAAGGCGTCTTGGACGCTCTCCACAAATCACCGCCTGACCCTTCAGATTCTTTTCCGATGTGTCTGAATCTTTTGGACTTTGGTGACTCATTCTTCTTTTTTGAAATTCTGACCTTTATCTCTGAACGCTTGCTTCACGTTGTCCTCGGCTTCTTTCTTCACATGAATTTCACACTCTGGTCGGGACCTTACCTGTCCTTCAGTTAACTTAAGTGCAGGTGAATGTTGAGATGGAGCCCAACTTTATGTCTTTGTCCGTCCGTGAACAGATCAATGACTGTTATGTCTCACTTGTGACATCTGGAGTGCGACCTGTGGGAGTCGGTTACTGTAGCTCCACTAAGAGGGTGTTGAATCTCCCTTACGCTCGATGACACTTTGAGTTTAAAGCACTACCTCTAAATCTATATGAATCGCTCATAAACAGATACATGTACGTTTTCTTCATATCATATTTCAAGAGTGTATTAGTGACATCCATCTAACAGCCAAGGTCAAACTCGACCATTATAATTTTCACTAAAAGAGTGACTCACAAAGTCAAAACTAACTGAGATGAATTTGCTCTTAAGTTTTATGGCTTTTGTTTTCGAGCCACTGACCGTGTAAGCTCAGCATCTCTTGGTTCTTATTTGTTTCACAGATCCTCATGTTGTATTTTAATGTGTTTATTAAAGGGAGACTCTACCGTCGTGGGGACCAGTAAACTGCGCAACCTGTACGAACGCTTCGAGGAAGAGTTGGTGAGGCGGCAGGATCGAGCCAAGGCTGCTCGACCGTCTTGGGAACCGCCCAAGACCAAACTGGATGAGGATCCAGGTGGGTAGAGTGGTGAAGCCTTTCCACCTCCTTCCCCGCGTCCTTCTGGATAATCTGATATTTAAAAAGACCTAAATCCTGGTGTTTTCGAGGGACGGATTAAAACCACGAGTGTGATATAATCTGAGATATAATTTCTGTTTTAATCTTCCAGCTCTTAAGATCACTACAATTAGTTTTTTCTTTTACCTCTAGCAGCCAGTGATTGATTACTTCCTGTCGCGTTATGTTTGTACACGTGTAAAGTGTTGCTGGTAAGTGCAGCAGCTAAATAACAATCAACAGTTAATACGTTCGTCGACAACCTTTTGTTATTGATGCACCATAAAAACTGGCTGCGTTCTCAGCCGTGCGTTAGGCCGAGGCAGAGATTAAGTTCGGTGTTTATGATGTTATCTGCGCGGCTGTTAGCTCGATTGTCTCTTTCAGCGCCTCACTAGTACCAGTCTCGCTCAGTGAGATCTAATATAACTAAACAAGTAAGAACAGTTTTATGCTCGATAAAAAGTCTGCATCAACAACGTAATCATTTATTTTACTTCGTGGATTTGGTTTTATGGTAAATTGCTCAAGTTAAATGATAACAATAGAAGTATTCACTTATTTAAAGCCACAAACTAGTCTGCTGAATAATAATTATAATCCTCATTTGGTTTCTTTTCAGCGAGTCGGAGGACTGTGACAGAAATACAGAAAACATGAAAAAAATGTCTGTGTTGGAAACCCTGCTGCTCTTTAATCTCACAGAATCATATAAATCTGCAGATGGTTAAGAAAATATAAAGTGTAAGGAGCTGGAATCTTTAATCAATGAATCTAACATCGTGATTGATAAATGATGAAAACACGATTTGTTTCCCTGAAGAAACGTTGAAGAGAAGAGAGTTTGCTGTGTCATCAGCGTTGTGTGGATAATTACTCCTCTGAAACAGCTGACAAGGACATTTTGACACGATGCTTCACTGTGACTATGTGTTGTATAATAGTGTGCGAGGGCACAGCTGAGCTTAACCACTCGACCAGCTCCGGCTCAGCGAATTATGTTTAACTCGTCTGCCCTACGACGTTCTAATGATGCAAGACCTTTTCTGAACTTTGGTTCCAGACAACAGCAGCAGTGAGTCGGACTGTGAATCAGACGGTGAAGGAAGCACCTGCTCCAGCAGCTCCGACTCAGAGGTTTTTGATGTCATCGCCGAGATCAAGAGGAAGAAAGCGCACCCCGACCGCCTGCACGAGGAGCTGTGGTACAACGACCCAGGACAGGTCGGTTCGTCTTAACGAAGGGATGTTTCAACTTGTCGTGTTTATTATCATAAAAAAACACATTTTGCTATTTTATCTTCGACATTGTGTTCTTCTTAAGTTACACCACAGCATAAGTCTCATACCGTAGAGCAGCGGCAGGTAAATAGAAGCCTGAGGACCCAAACTGAATATTTGGGCCTAACACCAGGTGAGATTTTGACGTATAGAAAGAAAATAGACGCTGACTTATATGGATTTTTAAGGCTGATACCAAAATTATGGAGAAATGCAGCTATGATTTAATTGAGACTTTATTATAAATGACTATAAAAATAAAAAATAATACAAACAAAAACATAGAAGAGGAAAATAAACTTTTATTTTTACAGGAAACATGTATGCACATTTCTCTATAAGTAAGAGCAGGAATTAATCACATACTTTATTTATTCCTGGAATTGGTTTGGTTAAGTTTTACTGAGTTTTGTAGAAATCTGAGATGAAAAACTTTGACACCTTAAGCGATATGCACAGCACATATATGACTTCATTCAGTTCTAAAACAGACAAAATGTGTCTATAAGACCCAAAATAAGATCTCACAAGTCGTGCTGAATGGTAAATAATGCAGAGAAACACGAGAATAAACTCAGACGCTTTGACTTCAGGTCAAATAATATTATTAATTTAGTCTTGCAGGATGTAGCAAGAAGAAACGTGCAAACGTGAATTGACTCTAGGTCTCATCAGGAAGGAAGAAGAAGTAATGGAAAGCTGCACCTCTGCTCCGTTAAAGAAAGAAAACGTGTTGGGATTCTGGTGCCAGTGAATGTATAATTTATATATACATCTAGATATAATACTTTATCAATCATTTAATGCATTTCCAACAGTGTGTGTGCAAGAGTAGCAGGTTCAGGTCTCTGGGAGAGTTTAAAAACATTCTGGTAAATAATGCTTCAGTAGACCAGGCAGGAAATTGAAGTTTGATCTGATTCAAAGTGATTGAATTTGATTTCCAAGTGTTTTAAGATACAAGAAACGGTCAGTGACATTAAAACTGAAGACACACTTGTAGGCCAACAGTTTTTTTATATTGTGTCTCGGGTGAAACCTTTTTTGTCAGTTTGCCTTCACGTCACCCCGACAACCATCACACAGGAAAACTTTAAAAACTCCAAGCTCCACTGGAGAAGTAAAGGTCAGGAGTGTGCATTTAGGAGATGTGAAATGTTCAGCGGCTCCGGTGTTATACATGGCAAGTGGAGCGGTTGTGTCTGATTTACGTATTTTCTTTCTGTCCAGATGAATGATGGCCCCCTGTGTAAGTGCAGTGCCAAGGCCAGACGTACAGGGATCCGCCACAGCATCTACCCGGGGGAGGAGGTATGACACGCTGTGAATAAATCACCCCTCATAACCTTGAAGTTCTGCCGCACGGGTGCACGGATGTTATTCCAGTCGGCCCAAATATTCTCTCAAGTCATATCACTGGTTCCATTATAACGTAACATGTGTAATTGGCTGAGTTCGCTTTTAAAGTTGGAATTAAGATTGTGTTGGTTTTTTTTCTTTCAGCCGGTGAAACAGTGTCGCACAATGAACAACAATGCAGGAAAACTGTTTCACTACAGGATCACTGTGTCACCTCCAACCAACTTCCTGGTGGGAACTTTTTTTTAATACTCTTTACTTGTTTTTAGTAGAAAAACATTAATGTGAATATTAACAGAATTTAACATCAGCGGTGTCATTAATTCAGAGTTGATTCTCACAGTTTCGGTAATCACTGTATAAAAACATGACCTGCTGTTTCCTGTTTTCAGACTGACAGGCCGACGGTGATCGAGTACGATGACCATGAGTACCTGTTCGAAGGCTTCTCTCTCTTCTCCCACACTCCTCTCACTAACGTAAGCCTGCTTTCTATCGTTGACGGTGCAGCCATGAATGTTACACCGATATAGTTTCAGAGTTTTGACAGTAAGTGGGTGTCAATGTACAGTCATTTCTGTTTCTGTATTTCACGTCGTCCTTGTTTATTTAGTTACCTGGAGTTTGTGGTTTCTCTCAGTGTGTCTCAATGAGTATATTTGACTGTTGTATGTTTACTGTTCAAATATCGCAGAGATAAAACAAAACACTTTTCCATGAGCTAAAATCAAATTAGACATTTCACTGATGGAAACTAATTACATATTATTATTACATATAAGCAAGTATTTGTCTCATAATAATAATAATAACATGATTAACTTTATTAACAATTGATTCACTGAACTGAAACACAACTGAACGCTGCATATTACCCATGATCCCCAGCCTCCCAAACCAGAGGAGCTGCCGCTGCAACACATCCTCATAACTTAACTCTCAAATCGACATTTTGGTTTAAGCCTTGGTCGTTTGTCGTCTTTGTCTCCTGGACAACGTCCTCTGCTCAGTGTGCTGACCTTGTGCGGAGTCACTTTTGAAGGCCCCGTCAGTGACCGTCAAATATGAGAGGCCGCGACTTAAAAGGGCCGCTGCTCTTTCTGCAGCCATTTGAGCCACGAACCCGAGTTTAAGTTCAAACGAGATGAGAAATCGACGGGAGACAACAAAACCCTGTTTCTTGAAAATTCCTTTCAAAGTGTTAAAATTCCACGTGCGTCAGGTTTTGTGGGTCAGCGTCTACACGTGTGTGTTCTCCTGCATGTTTGAATAATAAACTACTTGGTCAATATCTGCCTCGTCTGAAAAGAGCCCTGAGGATTAAGCATGATTTGAACTGGATAATTTAAGCAGTCCTTGTTAAAAGCTGGGGTAAACGCTTTGTGGCAGCGTGGGGATTAGAAAACCTTGGAGCGTGGTGATATTAGCCCCCTGCTAGTTAGCCGCCAGGACGGGCAAGAATGAATGTGACTCCCAGGTTAATCCCGTAAAATGGACCCCTGCGCTCAGACAACAAAGACCGTGTAACTAGGGAGATTAAACACAGAAGAGCAGGCTTATCTATTTAGTGAGATTTGAGTTACTTAATTTTCTTAGGAGTCAGGTGCATGCGTGTGCGTGGAGGCATGTCCTCCTGTCGGGGCCGAGTGCTTGTACATGTCTTGGTGTTTAATTTGACCGAAGGTTTTGCATGTTTATTCACACCACAGTGAGTTCGAGTGAGATTCCTTCAGCGTACATACATTTTCTGTACATCTGAGAGCGCCATTTTGGACAAGCTGTGCAGTGGGGATGAGTTTTTAATGAGTTTCCTCTAAAAGCTGTAACCTCTACCTAACGCCATGGTAATGAGTCAGCCTGTCCTTTCTTCTCCCTGTCCTCTGTTCCTTTCATCATCACAGATTCCATTGTGCCGTGTGATCCGCTTCAACATAGATTACACCATTCACTTCATAGAGGAGATGACACCGGAGGTCAGTAAAACCCCACTTTATCTCCCAGCTCTTTTTCACCCCTTTTGTCTCTTTTTTTTATTTTCTTATTTTATTTTATCTCAAACGGCTCAGTCTGAGCACAGCTGAGCCGAACGTAACCCTCACACCTCAGCGCCCGGGCGAGCGAAGGTGCTAATCCTTTCAGAGGAGGGAGAGGAGATTCTTTTTAACCTGCTGTAGTTGATTACACCGATACAGTGGCTTATGTGATAAAGTTAGAGGGCTGGATTTACTTATCACTCATATCTACACCAACACTTGCGGTAAAGTCTGTACTGTATGTTCTCACACTGTCACACATCGTCTGTCTCCTGTGTCCAGAACTTCTGTGTCCGAGGCCTGGAGCTGTTTGCCTCCTACTTGTTCCAGGATGTTCTTGAGCTGTATGACTGGAACCTGAGAAGTAAGAAGAGATGGAGCAAGTTTTGACAAATTGTGATTTGCAGGCAGTGCTTCCACAGAAATCAGAAATAACTGTGGCAGACTTGTGATTCACAAATGATTGTCCACCCCAGATTTTCTAAGTGATATAATCGAATGGAAATAGAGAATAACAACACAATGATTTGTCTTGTTATTTAAATTAGATAGTGTTGGTCTGACTGACTAAGACAAATGTTTCCAGTCAGAAAAAAGATTCGAAATGACGACAGAACAAACTCCTGCTACGTTAAAGTCTGATTCCCGGTCATGAAATTGGGAGGCAGCAGAACTGTGGTTGTCATTCCAGCCACAACTTTTCACTCTAAATCTAAAATGTGTGTGAAAAGCATGTCAGATTTGTATTGCGAAAAGAAACAAACAACCAAACACCAAAACAATTCTGCTCCTTTTCCAGGTCCTGACTTGGACAACGAGACCCCTGGGTGCCAGGGTTTCCATTTCATGCCGCGTTTTGTCCGATTCTTACCTGGTAAGACTCTTAACGACCTGCACACAGCCTCCACTGCGTCGCTGTTTGTCTCCCTCTGTTGGTCGGTGGTAACAGTTGTCCAGGTACAACAATGCAGGGGAAAAGAAAAAGCAATGCACGGCTCCAGCAGTCATACATTTCTGCATGCGATGCTGACATCAGTGGTGTGTTCCTGAGCTTCGGCTGCAGAGCCTCGGCAGCTGTGTGGCTGCGTGATATTCATCTTCGATGCACATGATGGTGCTGGTGCACTATGATATCGCTGCTGAGTTTGTTATGACAGCCGTGCCACCTACCTTCTTTCCATCAAAAAAACAATTTCTCTCCCAGCTCTTCCAATTTGGTCCGCTACAAGCATGTATCTGCCTCTTTTTACAAAAGCACAAAAAAAAAAAAAAAAACTGTCCAATCCAATGTTTGTGATGTGTAAAGAGAGAGTTAGAGCACGGTGATGTTTGGAAGTTACAGTCTGTGTGTGTGTGTGTGTGTGTGTGTGATTGTGTATTTGTTATTGTCTTAATGCATTTACAGTGCACACACATAAATGGTGGTCAATCAATTTTGCATGAGTGTCTATTAAACGGAGTATGTTTGACTTCACGTGTGTGTGTGTGCTTGGTTGTATGTCTCTGCACAGTCATATGTGACTTCCTGTTCCTCCCTGACTTTGTAAATACAGATTTGAATGTTGACATTATGTCCCTTCACGTATTGTAAGGCGTCCGACCTTTCATCGGCGCCTGTGTTCACCTGTGCGTTACCTGAACAATGCAATTGTGATGCATCGGGACATTTGCAGGGCATGTAATATTGGCTCAAAAACTCTGGCAGAGGTGAAGTGAGGTGAGACGCTCAAATAAAAGTTTTTTTTTTTTTTTTTTGAACATGAATGTTGATTTTTGGGCCAAGGATTTAAGCAGCGAATGAAAACACGGTGCAGGAGATCAGTGAAAGACTTTCCCCCTGTGGAGCCACAGCTACTGCAGCCATGAAGCCTTGTCTTTTTCAATTAGTTGTGTCTATTTATTTTTTGTGTGTAATTCCCTTATTAAATATTTATGTCTTAGATGGCGGGAAGGAGGTGCTGTCCATGCATCAGGTGCTGCTCTACCTGATCCGCAGCAGCAAGCCGCTGGTCCCCGAGGAGGAGATTGCAGACATGCTGCAGTGGGAGGAGCTGGAGTGGCAGAAATACGCGGAGGAGTGCAAGGGCATGATCGTCACCAACCCGGGCATGGTGAGGCCTCAGCTTCTCTGTTACGACAGGAGGTGGCCTTGTCCACAGTTTCAAGGGCATTTGTCGCCCCCAACCCCGACACTGCAGGATTAAGGCTGTTGTCGTTAGCTTGTGACACGGGCAGCCTCACCTATTATCCCCAAGGGCGTTTGCTGTCATCAACACAATTCGGGCCGAGGCTTTTATGTCACAGCGATGTTGGTTAACCTCCTTGTCTGGCCCATATTTTAAAGAATGTACAGTAATTGTGTTTGGGTAAAGGTGAAGATGTCATTGCTAGCTAAGAGGTTGCGTATGAACAATGAATATGATTGTATAACCTTTGGCGTGGTTGAGTTATTGAATCAACGGCTCTTCCTGACAGGACTGAATTGTTGCTGTCATGTTTTGCAGAGAGGTGGGTGTTTAATAGTCTTCCATCCTCACACTCAAGTTAAAGATTGGTCTGCCACTCAAACAAAGTATTAAAAAGGTCATGCACACAGACTTACTCTGTTTGCTGAAAATGGAACAATCTATGGAAACGGTCGACAGTGGTCATCTTCACTGTCACTCTGGTGGTGTGTTGGTTTTTATTACCTCCAGCGCAGTGTGCTTTGAAAATTCATTTTAATCAGCTTTTTTGAGTAAGTATTGTCCGAAAGACACGTATATTACAGATAACTCACCAAACGTACGGAGTTACAGAGCCCTGTGGGAAAGAAAAGATCCATGTGAGAATGTGTAGGCTGTGGGTTTTGTATTCTATGTGCAGGGATTTATAGTCTGTGCCCTCAGATTTGTAAACTGTTGCCTTGGAGCCAATCACTCAGACAACTTGGTATTTGAGAGCAGAGCAGAGTACACACAACAATACTCTATGAAAGAGCTGAAACATCCAGTGCACAGCATCACATAGCATCAAATCCCTCCTTAAACCCTGCATGTAAACAACATTACATGAGGTCAATACGGAAGATATTGTTATACGATGAAATCAAATCCTGGCATGCGCATGCAGTACGTTGCACTGCACTTGTTGTTCGTTGTTTTGCTCTTTTCTTTTGTCATGTCACACGTAGAAAAGCAATCTTTTTAATTGCATGCCTTCAGTTTTATTCAAAGTTCGGCAACAAGTAGAACCGTCCTGCTGCTGAGCAAAGAGCTGTGCATCTGTTCATTCCCAATTCAGAGAAGTTGGGTACGCGGAACCTGAACTGTGTGTATCATGTGTCTGCACAAGTGTGAAGCTGAGAACATGAACGGTTCTTGAGATTTGAGAGCCACATACAGACGAGATTTCTGGAATTGTCAGACGGATCAATGAATCAGTAAACTCTTAAAAAGTACGAGTTGACTCATATTTTCACAGTAAGGAGACGCTGCGTCCAGCTCAGCCCACAACCCGGTCTTGTTTTGTAGAAATCAAACTACTGTGTTACGTCAAGGTCAACATGTTTGCTGCCAATCAAACATGGCGTGCACAAACGATCGTTTCACACAGCGCCCTGCCCAACAACCTTCAATCAGCTATGGCCCATTAAAGCGCATGTAAAGAACCAGGAGACGTTAAATGGCCTCGTATATGTATAAATTAGCATTAACAACACATTTGCATCTGGACTGTAAACAGTCATCAAGCCGTCCAGCGCACCAATCAAACCTGATTATGTTGCCATAAAAGGCAAAAGCAAAGTCGGCCAGTGACCTCTTGCTCTCGAACCAAAGTTAGTATGCAGGTTGTGACGAGCATGCGCAGCTAATGTCAAGGTGAGCCCGAGCGCCTTGGGCCATCTGCCGTGCAGCTACTCACGCCTTATGCTCCAGCCCCCTTCTCTGATCTCGCAGAATGCCTGACAGGCTAACTGTGATTGGGAGTCTGCTGAGGACATGTTGCTTGTCAATCTTCTCCCCGATAAGAGCGTCAGAAGTTAGCTCGCCGTGCCTGACATCCTTTTATCATTGTTGTGCGCTCGCTACCAGACGAATCTGGGCCTCATCTCATTACGTCCCTGTGACAGACGACCCTCCTGGCGTGGATTATTTGTTATTTCACATATTGGTAGCAGATGGTTGAATGGTGGCTGCCTTGTAGTCATATGATTGTGTTCATACTGTAAAGTTTGACTTCTTTTTCCTCCAGAAACCCAGCTCGGTGCGTATCGACCAATTGGACAGGGAACAGTTCAACCCAGATGTCATCACCTTCCCCATCATCGTTCACTTTGGAATCCGTCCCGCTCAGCTCAGCTACGCCGGAGACCCTCAGTAAGATCACATACGCGCACACAGACCTACACGCTCCAACAAATGCCATCCAAATAAAGATCCTTCCCCTTATAGTTCCCACCTGCTGTGTACCATCTCCCTTGTTCCCACGACTCCTTATTCACAACTGCTCTCCCAGGAAGCTGTGACGGCAGAATCCTTCGTGTTGCATACGGAGGACAAGAATGGCGTATGTTGAGTAGAGGGGGTGGTGGTGGAGTGGGACGGCGAATAGATTGAAAGGGGGAGTTGAGGGATGAGAAAACGAGTGGCATGACATTTTCAGGTGCGTCGTCACGGGTCCCAGGTTTCCGCTGGGTGCCTCCGCCGTGGGAGCTGCTGTGGTTTATGTTTTGTGAATAGTAATGCCACACACACACCACGGGGCTGCAGCAGGGAATACTGTACTGTGCTGCTGCATAATTAACGAAAGCAATGTATAAGACCATCTGAGCCGCGGCCTCTGGAGGTGTACCGAGTGATGCGACAACGCCACGCCAAGCGCAGATAAAAAGTCGGCATTCATCTCTGTTGGTGCACTCGTTCTAAATTTAACCATGTGAACTTCTTCTTAAACTCAAATATCTGGTCTCGTTTACGACATTCAAGAGGAGGTGAGGGGGGGAAATTATTTTTGATGAAGATGCAAACTAGAGGACGATCAGTAGGAAATCCATTTAGGCAGCGTTAGTTTGCTTCCTTCCTCCAACTAATGTCCTCTCTCCCCTGCTGCTACATTTTAGCTGTCTGTCCGCTGAGCTCTTTCATCCCTGTGCACCCTGCTGCCATGTCAAACTTCTCAAAGCTGCAGACAACGACAAATTTATGGATGTACTGGGACATCATTAGCTGATGCAGACACAAGTAGTAAGAGACCAGTGGAAAGGATTTCCTACCGCTGCTAATGATGCATGTAGCGAGGGCAGAAGTCGGTGGTGATTGCGGCGGCAGTCTCTCAGAGAGGGAGCCTTGGACACAGCAGAAGTATAAAGTCTATTTATTTACTCGGGAGACTGAAGAAGCTGTGCCGTCTCCCTCCCTTCACACACTGCCCACTGGACACATTTGTGTTCAGGGCCGCCACTCGATCTCCTGCAAGCGCCATCACAACCGCTGAGGCAAGAATGATGACATGTCAGAGGTCAGCGAATGTAAAGAAAAGGCACCAGGAAAGGAAGGGAGGATGGAGCAGGACAGAGAATGACAGCAAAAGACAGATGAGAAACATAATGAAGGGACGGAAGGAGGGAGATGTAAGATATGCAGAGATGTGAAGGGAATTTAAGAAACCTAGAGGAGGATGAGACAAATCTATTGAACACGTGTCTCTTTTCTGTCAAAAGCAGATCACGGAAATCCTCTATTGACCAAACCGTCTCAATTTGGCTCAGCCTCCGCGCTCTAACCAGTCCACAAAGACTGCGTCCTCCGAAGGATGCAGCCCTTTAATTGAGACACAGCTTAGGCCTTTGTTATTCTTTTGATTGAGATACCCCCCTAGTGGCAGAAGTTACATACTGGACGTTTAAAACCTGTCACTTCATCAGCTGCCATGTTTGAACGTCGCTATCCCCGAACAGTTAGTTAAATTCTAAAAAGCCATTACTTCAGCAGGTAGATGAAACCAGTGATGTTACAGATGCTGCATCTGAAAACGGCAAAACACCGGAGAGAGGGGAGGAAGAGACAGGAAGCGGTAGCATATGCTAATGAAAGCTTGTGCAGACCTACCCAGAGAGCACACAGTGGATCTGTGGAAAGGTCATTGGAGCAGATTGGGGACGGGGGGGCCTCCCAGGCTGGATAGACTCACTCTCTCTTTCTCTTTCTTCCTGTCTCATCCACTCCGGCAGCTTCAGTGCGGAGGTGGTGGTGAGCTGATAATCGGGGCGGTAAAGCCGTCTCATTCCCTCGTCTCAGTCTCTAATGAAGTCTCCGCTATTAAAGCTCTATAATTCTTCTGTTCCTCAGTACACCCTCTCTCCGTCTTTCCATCTTGTCTCTCTCCTCTCTCTCCTCTCTCTCTATGCCTCAGTCAATGCAGCGTCATATCCCCGAACAACCCCACCACCTTACCCCTCCGTCCCACCAATCATAATTGAATAACTCTGGGTAAATGAGGAGAAAGTCTCCTGAATGGGAGCAGAACGGTCACACTCGGCCCTCAGTGCATCAATCAGGGGGTCTGATTGAAAAGAGAGAGAGAGAAGAGGGGCAGAGATGGGGGAGAAAGGGGAGGCAGTTAGTGCGGCGGCTACATGTCACCTTGCCGATAACTCCCTGCCTCTTTTCAGATGCAAATGAGGGTAAAAGACAATAGGGTTTCACAGAAAATGAGAACGAGGAGGTTGTAAATTTGCTCTTGAGGGCCGATCAAATGTTTTATGACTTACAGCTTTTTCATCAGCAAAGAAAACAAGTTGAAGTGCAAGTGGTCAACGTGTGTGAACCTCTGCTCGCAGTTCAAACGGCAGACGTGTGCAACGCAGAGAATCCTCAGTGTACACAGGCCTCACATAAAGCAGCTAATGCAATAACGGCCTCAGGCAACTGTTAAATTATGTTTAATATCAGCCAGGCCGGCGATGAAATATTGATGTGTTGCTGCAAATCAGCAGAGTGAGGGTGAGACGGACTCCTGTCAGCCTGACATCCCCTTGTTCCCTGTCGACAGGTACCAGAAGCTGTGGAAGAGCTACGTGAAACTACGCCATCTGCTGGCCAACAGCCCCAAGGTCAAGCAGATCGACAAGCAGAAGCTGACACAGAGAGAGGTGGGTTGAAAGCTTACAAACGCGCTTTGATATTCCTCGTTGCCTTTGACACACTCGTGTTTTAACGATGCCAGCCGGTAAATCGTTTGTTTTGCGTGGATGTGGTGCAACGTGCTTTCAATTTGAATCCTTCGGAGAGTTCATCTCCAGCAGATGAGAAAGGTTATGTTAAAAACACTTGCTCGCTCGTCTGTTACGAGAGATTCGCAGCCATTGATTTAAAACACCGAACTATTACCATTACTATTACTCCTGCCGTGAGTAAAGCCCTGACTCAAATGCTGCTCGTCTGGAACACGCCGCCGGTAGTCAACTTCTTCCTCACAGTAGGTTAACTGGAAATGTGAGACATGAATTTTTGGAAAGGCCACAGCCACACTTTAACACATTTAGAGTCATTAACCTTTGGAGTGGATTCGATTAAAAGAGTTGCTGCAAAAATAGTTTTTCACTTTCTTTAACATTGTGCGAGCAATTAGAATAGCAATCGGAGAGCTTGTACCTCCACCGAGGCCCAACAGTCCGCTTATGAATTTAAATTCACTTGATACAGATTTAGATATCAGTCTCCCTAAATACGTCTGATTTAAACAAATGTTTAAATCCATGAATTATTCTATAAAGAGACAAAAACTTAAACTCCTTGGCAAAGGTACTAACATGAAACATCCAAGTCGTTTTTTTCTTTTAATTTTAGATTTAAATACTTTGTTCTTATTTTCATGTGAAGGGGAAGGTGACATCTTTGTTAAAACAATAAAAGGATATGTTCATGTTTGAACAGTAATCAGGATTTAAATAATTGTCATATGTTGGGGTGAAACAGTTTTTCCTCTTCTTCATAGTGACCTTTAAGAAATAAAGTCCAAAGTCTGTCTGAAGGTAACACGAGGCTTCAGGTTAGTTCGACAAATCAAGGACTAATAATTGTTTTAAGACATCTTTAAAAAATGGGAATCCGTCCCTCAACAGCATAATTTAGATGAAGTTACAGCTCAGAATAAGACGGCGGTAAATGCTCCCCCGAGTTGAGAGTGAAGGTCAAATCACCGCCAGGGACTGAGGATGGAAAAGGTTCGGGTTTAGTGAAGTAATGACCGTGCAGCCACAGGGAACAGGTGCTGCCTGTGTGGCCCGAAGCAGCCGAGCCGGAGCGCTTTGTCCCGTCATATCTCTCCTGGAGGACGGACCGCGATAACTTCTCTGCAGCAGATACAGCTCGTCCTCTCTCTGAGGACTTTTGACTGCGCCGCAGATCCAGTCTCCCCAGTTTGATACACTCTGAACCAATAATGAGCAAGAACTCTGAGCTCAATTAGCTTGTTTCCCAGGTAGCTCGGCAAAAGCTCTCCGGCTAACAGCCCCTGACAATCGTACTGTCAAACTGCACTGGAGCAATTAGCGAACCCAAACACATGCACACTCACACACTGGGTCCGTCAGGCTCCTGCGTGAGCATTAGCCGTGTCAGTGTCTCTTCACTGGAGTGGCAGTGTGGCATCGCTACTTATTTAATGCCGCGGGGAACGCTGGAGCTTCTGGGTGTAAATGGTCTGTCACTGACTGAACACCTGTTCCTCTGATAGACATTTGCTTCCATTAAGAATCAGCCTGTCAGAGAAGTGTGCGCTTCTCCGGTCGGACCTGTGATACCTTTGTGCTTGGTTTGGCGTTCGCTGAGCTGCAGGGAGATCAGAGGTGTGTGAACCACGGCGAGAACTGGACTTCACACCAGGGTGCACTCCTCTGCTCCCGTTTCAAGATCTGACGCTGAGAGCATGGAGGGTTGTGTGGAAGATTTCAGGAGAATGTCCACAGTTCAGTGCAGGTTTGAAAGCAGCATTAATACTGAATTCCTCTGAAACCTTATTCTGATGTTTGTTTGCTTCTGTAGTTTTTAATATAAATTAGAATCTACTGCACAATATAAACCTTTAAAACAAGACGAGACTGTGTCATTAAGAAAGTTTTGTAACGGTAATAAAAATGAAATACAGACGTATGTTTCTTCATTATCTCATATCTCTAATTTGAATAAGTATTAGCTCCCGAGTTGGTACTTTGGCAGTGAATTCAACTCTGAGTCTCCTCCATCAGCTCGGCATATGTGGATTTGGGGATTTGCTCTGATTCCTCCTTGCAGATTTGGCCGAGCTCGGTCGAGCTGTATGAAGAGATTCTTCACAAAGCTATCTTCAACTCGTTCTGCAGATTCTCTTTTGGGCTTCAGTCGGGCCACACGTGAACGTGAGACATTAATTCATGGGATAAAGTAAAGAATGTAAAAATTAAACAATTGCTTGTCTTTACTGCATCGTAAATATTAAAAATTTGAAAAATTTTAACAAAAATGCCAAGACCAGTATGTCTGTGGAACCCCTCCTTACGAAGACTTAAAGTTAACTTTGTTAAAAAAAACATTTGTCCTCTGGAAACCTGAAAACCTACGACAAACTATCTGCAAGTCCAGTAGCTTTTGTCTTCTCTCTTTTTCGTGTTCAGACAACGTGATGAAAACAAACCGACACCACTAAATTAACCTGCAAAGGGAGTCAAGTGCAACAGATGTGTTCTTTGCCATCAGCAGGCATTGAATTTCAGACGGTGTCTTTGGTGTTTGACCTCCACCTGATCCAAAAAACACAAGCACTCCTCTCGGCAGAAGGATGTGATGATACAAGTCAAATGTGCCGTGACTTGCCTGTTTGACCGGCGGAAAGTTACTCTCTCTTCCTCGCCGTCCCGGTTAATTATTTACTTTTTCTACTTCTGTCCATTCCCTGACCCTGTAGAAAGCCCTGCATAATAAAGTATTTACATATCGTTCGCGGTTCTCTGTGATTACTGCTTTCCGTATACAGCAGCTGGCTGTGCATGGGAAGATTTGCAGCGTGTGGTTGCACATGCATGCGTTGGCGCGTGGGCGAGCGTGTTCACTTTGATGCACAGTTCAAAGTAGGATGGCATTATTTATTCATGCCTTTGTTGTTCTTATTTTCTCTGCGAGTCAAAAAATTCCTGGCGTTCCATTTTGGGCAGATCACGGCGAACTCAGACGGAGTCAGTGGCGTCTCAGTTGAATGAAACACATGCGTACACACACACACACACACACTTTTAGGAGGCGCAGTCTGTCAATACATCTCCCATCTTGCTTGTTATTTGTAGGACCCTCTTGTCTCAAACTCAACCACCCCCACTGAATTTGCAGTTATTTGCTTTAGGGCTGACATGATGCTGTGTGTGTGTTTCTGTTCTGATTCCTGCTGCTGCTGATG